CCCTGGCTTGGGGCAAACCCAGAGCGGATAAATCAGGATGGAATGAACCAGGTGAAAAAGGCCTGAGGGAGGTGCAGCAGATTCCTGACTTTGGGAATGCTCCCAATTCCCTGGGAACAATTCACATTCCCTGGGAACAATTCACATTCCTTGGGAACAATTCACATTCCTTGGGAACAATTCACATTCCTTGGGAACACCCCCATTCCCTGGGAACACCCCCATTCCCTGGGAACAATTCACATTCCTTGAGAACAATTCACATTCCCTGGGAACAATTCACATTCCCTGGGAACAATTCACATTCCCTGGGAACAATTCACATTCCTTGGGAACACCCCACATCCAGACTGGGAGCTGCCATCCCCTCCTTTACCCCTGGTTTTCCCCTTGGCCCAGCCAGGGAAGGTCATTCCCTGCTGGAATTTTCCAGAATCCCAAGCTGTTCCTGGTCATTCCCCGCTGGAATTTTCCAGAATCCCAAGCTGCTCCTGGTCATTCCCTGCTGGAATTTTCCAGAATCCCAAGCTGTTCCTGGTTTCCCTGCTGGAATTTTCCAGAATCCCAAGCTGCTCCTGATTTCCCCTGCTGGAATTTTCCAGAATCCCAAGCTGCTCCTGATTTCCCTGCTGGAATTTTCCAGAATCCCAAGCTGCTCCTGATTTCCCTGCTGGAATTTTCCAGAATCCCAAGCTGCTCCTGATTTCCCCTGCTGGAATTTTCCAGAATCCCAAGCTGCTCCTGATTTCCCTGCTGGAATTTTCCAGAATCCCAAGCTGCTCCTGGTCATTCCCCGCTGGAATTTTCCAGAATCCCAAGCTGCTCCTGGTTTCCCTGCTGGAATTTTCCAGAATCCCAAGGTTTCCCGCCTCACCTGCCTCCAGGCACGGCTCCAGCTTGTCGAAGTACTCCGGAGCGATCAGCTGCAGCAGGCACTGGAACAGCTTCACGTAGGGAAGGCGGGACACGAGCACCAGGGACTGGGAATGGCACATTTGGGATCACTGGGATCATTGGGATCACTGGGATCATTGGGATCACTGGGATCATTGGGATCACTGGGATCATTGGGATCACTGGGATCATTGGGATCACTGGGATCATTGGGATCACTGGGATCATTGGGATCACTGGGATCATTGGGATCACTGGGATCATTGGGATCACTGGGATCATTGGGATCACTGGGATCATTGGGATCACTGGGATCATTGGGATCACTGGGATCATTGGGATCACTGGGATCATTGGGATCACTGGGATCATTGGGATCACTGGGATCATTGGGATCACTGGGATCATTGGGATCACTGGGATCATTGGGATCACTGGGATCATTGGGATCACTGGGATCATTGGGATCACTGGGATCATTGGGATCACTGGGATCATTGGGATCACTGGGATCATTGGGATCACTGGGATCATTGGGATCACTGGGATCATTGGGATCACTGGGATCATTGGGATCACTGGGATCATTGGGATCACTGGGATCATTGGGATCACTGGGATCATTGGGATCACTGGGATCATTGGGATCACTGGGATCATTGGGATCACTGGGATCATTGGGATCACTGGGATCATTGGGATCACTGGGATCATTGGGATCACTGGGATCATTGGGATCACTGGGATCATTGGGATCACTGGGATCATTGGGATCACTGGGATCATTGGGATCACTGGGATCATTGGGATCACTGGGATCATTGGGATCACTGGGATCATTGGGATCACTGGGATCATTGGGATCACTGGGATCATTGGGATCACTGGGATCATTGGGATCACTGGGATCATTGGGATCACTGGGATCATTGGGATCACTGGGATCATTGGGATCACTGGGATCATTGGGATCACTGGGATCATTGGGATCACTGGGATCATTGGGATCACTGGGATCATTGGGATCACTGGGATCATTGGGATCACTGGGATCATTGGGATCACTGGGATCATTGGGATCACTGGGATCATTGGGATCACTGGGATCATTGGGATCACTGGGATCATTGGGATCACTGGGATCATTGGGATCACTGGGATCATTGGGATCACTGGGATCATTGGGATCACTGGGATCATTGGGATCACTGGGATCATTGGGATCACTGGGATCATTGGGATCACTGGGATCATTGGGATCACTGGGATCATTGGGATCACTGGGATCATTGGGATCACTGGGATCATTGGGATCACTGGGATCATTGGGATCACTGGGATCATTGGGATCACTGGGATCATTGGGATCACTGGGATCATTGGGATCACTGGGATCATTGGGATCACTGGGATCATTGGGATCACTGGGATCATTGGGATCACTGGGATCATTGGGATCACTGGGATCATTGGGATCACTGGGATCATTGGGATCACTGGGATCATTGGGATCACTGGGATCATTGGGATCACTGGGATCATTGGGATCACTGGGATCATTGGGATCACTGGGATCATTGGGATCACTGGGATCATTGGGATCACTGGGATCATTGGGATCACTGGGATCATTGGGATCACTGGGATCATTGGGATCACTGGGATCATTGGGATCACTGGGATCATTGGGATCACTGGGATCATTGGGATCACTGGGATCATTGGGATCAGGATCCTTTCCCCCAATCCCAGCGCTGCCCACGGAGGGCTGGACTGAAAAACCCCGGCACAAAAGCATGGAGAGCTCCCAAGCTTTTTCCAAGCCGGAATTTCTTTGGGATTCTTGCTGCCCACCCGCTCCCCAGCCGGGATTTGGGATTGGAGAGGTGTGGGAGCACGGCCTGGGAAAAGAGCAGCTGGAGAGGGAATAAAAATCTGCTGGGTTCAAAGCTCCCGAAAATCATTTCAGGTGGAGGAGCACAAAGGAGAGACCCCTGAAATGGGAATTGGAGAATTCCTGAAATGGAAAATCAGGGAATGCTGGGGAAGGACAAAGGAACTTGGAATAATGGATCATGTCCAGCCTTTTTTGTTCTAACTGGGGCTTCCTTGTGGAATAAATCCACATAAAATCCCTGTTTTTTACAGCTGTCCCAGCCCAGCCCCACTGGGCTTTCACTGTTACACCATTCTGCTCCATTCCATTAATGAGTGCTTTAATTAGGAGTGCAGGAGTCATTTACACACCTCCTGTCCAACCCCAAACTCGGAATTCAAACCTCATCCAAGCGTGACAATTCCTTCCCTGAGCAATCCCAGGGCTCCAGGGGAAAACTGACGGGTTTGGAGGGGATGGGAACGGGATTTGTGCATCAGCAGGAGCCTCACAGGAGCTCCTGGGGCTGGAGGGGACAAAGATCAGGACAGTGCTGGGACTGAGGTGTCCCCATGGAGCAGGACAGGAGAGGGGACAGCCTCAGGTGGGCCAGGACAGCCTCAGGGTGGGCCAGGACAGCCTCAGGGTGGGCCAGGACAGGCTCAGGGTGGGCCAGGACAGGCTCAGGGTGGGCCAGGACAGGCTCAGGGTGGGCCAGGACAGGCTCAGGATGGGCCAGGACAGGCTCAGGATGGGCCAGGACAGGCTCAGGGTGGGCCAGGACAGGCTCAGGGCGGGCCAGGACAGGCTCAGGACGGGCCAGGACAGGCTCAGGGTGGGCCAGGACAGGCTCAGGGTGGGCCAGGACAGCCTCAGGGTGGGCCAGGACAGGCGCAGGATGGGCCAGGACAGGCTCAGGATGGGCCAGGACAGGCTCAGGGTGGGCCAGGACAGGCTCAGGGTGGGCCAGGACAGGCTCAGGGTGGGCAGCAGCAGGAATTTCCCCATGGAAAGGGGGTCAGGCCCTGGAAGTGCCCAGGGAGGTTTGCAGTGCCCATCCCTGGAGGTGCCCAGGGAATTCCTGGAGGTGGCACTCAGGGGACAAGGTGGGCATCGGGCACAGCAGGCACTGGATGGGCTGGGAGTGCTTTTCCAGCCCCAGGGATTTTGGGATTCTGGGATTTCAGCACTGACCTTCTGGAAGTAGCCCCTCCTCATGGAGCTGTCCTTGACCTGCCGGAAGTACACGTACCCAAAATAGTGAGCGGCCTCTCGCTGCAGGGACAGGGACAGAGAGGGACAGACACAGACAGAGACAGGGACAGGGACACAGGGACAGAGAGGGACAGAGAAGGACAGAGGGACAGTGAGGAACAGCCCAGCCCCACCATTCCTTCCTATGGCACCCCCTGCTCTGGCACATCCCAGCATCCATCCCAATCCCCCAGGAGAGCTTCCCATGGGGACACAGGGACAGACACAACTGGAGCCAGCCTGGGAGAGCTGGGAATGTTCCCCTGGAGAGGAGAAGGGTCCAGGGAGAGCTTCCAGAACGTTCCAGAGCCTGAAGGGGCTCCAGGAGAGCTGGGAATGTTCCCCTGGAGAGGAGAAGGATCCAGGGAGAGCTTCCAGAACGTTCCAGGGCCTGAAGGGGCTCCAGGAGAGCTGGGAATGTTCCCCTGGAGAGGAGAAGGGTCCAGGGAGAGCTCAGAGCCCCTGCAGGGCCTGAAGGGGCTCCAGGAGAGCTGCAGAGGGACTGGGACAGGGCTGCAGGGCCAGGAGCCAGGGAATGGCTCCCAGTGCCAGAGGACAGGGCTGGATGTTGGGAATTGGGAATTGGGAATTGCTGGCTGGGCTGGAATTGCCAGAGCAGCTGTGGCTGCCCCTGGATCCCTGGCAGTGGCCAAGGCCAGGCTGGAGCCTGGGACAGGGGGAGGTGTCCCTGCTTCAGTTCCCTCTCCCAAAATAACTGGGGTCTCCCCAATTCAATTCCCTCCCAGTGGAACTGGGGTCTCCATAATTCCACTCCACATCCCAAAATATCTGGGGGTCCCCCTGACTCAACTCAGTTCCCTCTCCCCCAATTCAGTTCAGTTTTTGATCCCCCTGATCCCATTTCCTCTCCCAGCAGTTCCCTGATCCCATTCCCTGATCCCATTCCCTGATCCCATTCCCTGATCCCATTCCCTCTCCCAGCAGTTCCCTGATCCCGTTCCCTCCCCGGTGAGCACAGAAGGAAATCCCAGCGCTGAATCCTTCCCTTTCCTCTGTCCCCACGGCCAAAGGAGGATTTTCCACAGGGAGCGCACATCCAGGGAATGCTCAGCTCATTCCCCCAGGTGGGAGCAGGGCCAGGACCCACCTGCAGCGTCAGCGGGGCCTCCCGGTTGTACCTGCCGTCATCCTGGAACGGGGAGCTCCGGGAACCCCCGGCCTGGCGCAGCCGGAAGCTGAACTGGGTGTCCCCGAGGCCACCTGGGACAGACACAGCAGGGACGGGGACACAGAGCTGGGAGCAGCTCCAGCAGGACGGGATGGGGCTACGGGAACAGCCAAAACAGGGACAGAGCGGGGAAACCAGAGCAGAGAAATCCCAAAGGGAGGGGAAAGAGAAAGGAAAAAGGAAGGGAAAATGGAAGTGAAACGGGAAGGAAAAGGGAACTCCAGGAAAAAGCTTTTCCCTGGGAGGGTGGCACAGGGTGGCACAGGGTGCCCAGAGCAGCCGGGGCTGCCCCTGGACCCCGGGAATGGCCAAGGAAAGCTTGGAGCAGCCTGGGATGGTGGGATTGGAATGGGGTGGGATTGAAGGTCCCTGGATCCCATCCCAAACCATTCTGGGATTTGGGAGGCTCTGAATCCATCCCGAGGGATTTTTCTGGAAGCTGGGGCTGGAAAAGGGAAGGGAGACCCTTCCTGCAGTGCCGAGATTCCCAGGGAAACCCCTGGATCCCAAAATTCCTTCCTGGAGCGGAGCCGGGGCAGGGCTGGAGAGAGGGAATGGAGGGAATTCCCTGGGAAAGGGGAGATGGGGCTGGATGTTGGGAATTGGGAATTGGGAATTGCTGGCTGGGCTGGAATTGCCAGAGCAGCTGTGGCTGCCCCTGGATCCCTGGCAGTGGCCAAGGCCAGGCTGGAGCCTGGGGCTGGGAGCAGCCTGGGCCAGTGGGAGGTGTCCCTGCCATGGCAGGGGGGCACTGGGGGGGCTCGGGGGTCCCTTCCATCCCAAACCATCCCGGGATTCCATGGAAGTGCAGAACCCAACCCTCAAAGCCGCGGGGCCTGGCTGGATGAGCAGATTTATTTCTGGTTTGTGATGTATGAACACAGGTCTGGGGACATTTCTGCTGGAAGTGCCTCTCCCCAGCTCCTGCCCCAACCCCAGGGATGTGACAGCCCCATCCCAGGAAATCACCCTCCTGCTCCGGGAATTTCCTTGGAGCACAGGGAAGCTCCGGGAATTTCCTTGGAGCACAGGGAAGCTCTGGGAATTTCCTTGGAGCACAGGGAAGCTCTGGGAATTTCCTTGGAGCACAGGGAAGCTCTGGCTCAGCTCTGGGAATTTCCTTGGAGCTCTGGCTCAGCTCTGGAATTTCCTTGGAGCACAGGGAAGCTCTGGGAATTTCCTTGGAGCACAGGGAAGCTCTGGCTCAGCTCTGGGAATTTCCTTGGAGCTCTGGCTCAGCTCTGGAATTTCCTTGGAGCACAGGGAAGCTCTGGGAATTTCCTTGGAGCACAGGGAAGCTCTGGCTCAGCTCTGGGAATTTCCTTGGAGCTCTGGCTCAGCTCTGGAATTTCCTTGGAGCACAGGGAAGCTCTGGGAATTTCCTTGGAGCACAGGGAAGCTCTGGCTCAGCTCTGGGAATTTCCTTGGAGCTCTGGCTCAGCTCTGGAATTTCCTTGGAGCACAGGGAAGCTCTGGCTCAGCTCTGGGAATTTCCTTGGAGCTCTGGCTCAGCTCTGGAATTTCCTTGGAGCACAGGGAGGCTCTGGGAATTTCCTTGGAGCTCTGGCTCAGCTCTGGAATTTCCTTGGAGCACAGGGAAGCTCTGGCTCAGCCCCAGGTGCTCCCTGCAGCCCCCCCAGCCCTGCAGCACCCCAGGGCCCGTTGTCCCCCCAGGGCCACCCCGGTGTCACCCACCTGAGTAGGAGTCAGGGAAGGACAGGTAGCAGATGCTCGTTTTCTGCAAGGAAGGCAGCGGGCAGTGAGAGCCGGGAGAGCGGCTGGGGAGGAGGGACGGGAGGGGATGAAGGTCTTTACCTCCTTCTCGGTGAGCCTGAAGTCGTGGGGATACACCAGCTGTGGAGAGAGCAGAGCCTGTCTGTTGTAGCTGACAGCTTGAAATGTATCTTTTCCCCTCTTTTAGTTGTGATTTCCCCCGCAGCTTCTCTTTCCCCTAACTCTTTACCTGGTGCCAGGTTCTGAAGTTTCTCTCCTCAGCCCCACGGATGGAGTAAAGAGAGGACCCCGCTGGCATTTCCAGCTGCTTGAGGTTTCTTTAGCCCAGGGAAGCGCGGGGTTGGGAGAAGAGAGACCCTTCTTTCCAACCCGGGAGTTTGTAACTCTGTTTTTCCCTGTCCCAGAATGACTCTGAGCTGTGGAAGCTGAGAGGATTTGTTTCCTTTCCCTTCCCTTTCTTTCCCCCCTGTGCTGCCAGGAAACCAAGCCCCCCTCTCTGGAGAATACTCCCACACCTCTGTGGGCATTTGGAGAAGTTGGGGTCTGTTATTTCTTATCTTGGCGTGTGTAACCTTGATTTGGAGAAAGTTTGTAAGATGTACTAACTGAGAAAAATAATTGTTTCTCTCTCTGATGTTCCCTCCCTCCGAGAAACCCTGTTAAAAGAGACCCCCAGACCCCAAATCCTTTGTCTTTCACCCTTTGGATTCCCCTTCACAGAAATAAACTGTGGAATGCAAACCAGAGAGAGAGTCCCCCCCTGATTTCTTTACTCGCTCTATAGACTTGGATTCTTGAAGAAAATCAGTGAAGCCCACAAACATCTGCTGGCTCGAAACTGGAGTGAGGAGAAACCTCATCGCTGAGCCAGGTGGGCCACAGAGTCACCTGTCAGCCCCCCGTGCCTCTCCCTGGCTCCTGGGCAGGTTCAAAGTGCGCTGGACCCGTCTGCAGCTGCGTCTGGGGACAGGCACAAACGCTCCTGGTTTGATTTTCATCTTGAGATGAAATGGATGGGGCTGAATGAGCAGCCCCAAATCCTCTGGGAGCGCTCCAGATGTGCGAACATCTGTCAGGAGCAGGACAGGGCACACGGGAGGAGAGGGTGGAAAGGGAGCTGGAAAAGGAGGGGTGGGTGTGGGGGATGAGGACCCCGAGAGGGCTCAACAGGCTGGGACAGAGAGGAATTCCATCACTGCTGCACCTGCTGACCTTGGGGGGCTTCTCCAGCCTGACTGTGGCTCTCACAATCCATGGAGACCACAGCAGCCACAGCTTCAGGGAATCCCGGGATGGTTTGGGATGGAAGGGACCCCCGAGCCCCCCCAGTGCCCCCCTGCCATGGCAGGGACACCTCCCACTGGCCCAGGCTGCTCCCAGCCCCAGGCTCCAGCCTGGCCTTGGCCACTGCCAGGGATCCAGGGGCAGCCACAGCTGCTCTGGCAATTCCAGCCCAGCCAGCAATTCCCAATTCCCAATTCCCAACATCCAGCCCTGTCCTCTGGCACTGGGAGCCATTCCCTGGCTCCTGGCCCTGCAGCCCTGTCCCAGTCCCTCTGCAGCTCTCCTGGAGCCCCTTCAGGCCCTGCAGGGGCTCTGAGCTCTCCCTGGACCCTTCTCCTCTCCAGGGGAACATTCCCAGCTCTCCTGGAGCCCCTTCAGGCCCTGGAACGTTCTGGAAGCTCTCCCTGGACCCTTCTCCTCTCCAGGGGAACATTCCCAGCTCTCCCAGGCTGGATCCCTGGGAACTGAGGGGCTCCAGGCCTGGAGCAGCTCCGGGGTCTCCTCTGGGCTCTCCCCAGCAGCTCCAGGTGTCCCCAGGGCTGGGGCAGCTCTGCAGGTGGGGTCTCACCTGGGCACAGGGTCCCAAGGACGAGGGTCCCACAGTTGCTCTGCTGCCTGGGAAGTGCAGGAATTGCAGCGGAGCAGGGAGGGAGGGGCAGGAGCCGCAGCTCCGATCTCAGCCCCAGCAGCTCTGCTGCTCCAGCCAGGAGCTCCAGGCAGCGCCTGGCCCCTCTCTGGGCTACAAACAGCCCTGGTGGCCCCGAGCCAGGGGCTGGAAGTGCATCCAGCCCTGCCAATTCCCGAGGATCCCTTGGCAGGGCACTCCAGCCAAATTCCCGATGAGCGGCGCCGAGAGCTGAGCAAGAGCCACGGAAATCCCGAGGCAAAAAACGATCCTGGAGCAGCTCCGGGGCTGGAGCAGCACGGGGAGGGAAGGGATTGGGATTGTCCCAGGGAAAGGATTGGGATTGTCCCAGGGAAGGGATTGGGATTGTCCCAGGGAAAGGATTGGGATTGTCCCAGGGAAGGGATTGGGATTGTCCCAGGGAAAGGATTGGGATTGTCCCAGGGAAGGGATTGGGATTGTCCCAGGGAAAGGATTGGGATTGTCCCAGGGAAGGGATTGGGATTGTCCCAGGGAAAGGATTGGGATTGTCCCAGGGAAGGGATTGGGATTGTCCCAGGGAAAGGATTGGGATTGTCCCAGGGAAGGGATTGGGATTGTCCCAGGGAAAGGATTGGGATTGTCCCAGGGAAGGGATTGGGATTGTCCCAGGGAAAGGATTGGGATTGTCCCAGGGAAGGGATTGGGATTGTCCCAGGGAAAGGATTGGGATTGTCCCAGGGAAGGGATTGGGATTGTCCCAGGGAAAGGATTGGGATTGTCCCAGGGAAGGGATTGGGATTGTCCCAGGGAAAGGATTGGGATTGTCCCAGGGAAGGGATTGGGATTGTCCCAGGGAAAGGATTGGGATTGTCCCAGGGAAGGGATTGGGATTGTCCCAGGGAAAGGATTGGGATTGTCCCAGGGAAGGGATTGGGATTGTCCCAGGGAAAGGATTGGGATTGTCCCAGGGAAGGGATTGGGATTGTCCCAGGGAAAGGATTGGGATTGTCCCAGGGAAGGGATTGGGATTGTCCCAGGGAAAGGATTGGGATTGTCCCAGGGAAGGGATTGGGATTGTCCCAGGGAAAGGATTGGGATTGTCCCAGGGAAGGGATTGGGATTGTCCCAGGGAAAGGATTGGGATTGTCCCAGGGAAGGGATTGGGATTGTCCCAGGGAAAGGATTGGGATTGTCCCAGGGAAGGGATTGGGATTGTCCCAGGGAAAGGATTGGGATTGTCCCAGGGAAGGGATTGGGATTGTCCCAGGGAAAGGATTGGGATTGTCCCAGGGAAGGGATTGGGATTGTCCCAGGGAAAGGATTGGGATTGTCCCAGGGAAGGGATTGGGATTGTCCCAGGGAAAGGATTGGGATTGTCCCAGGGAAGGGATTGGGATTGTCCCAGGGAAAGGGATTGGGATTGTCCCAGGGGATCCCTTCCCTGCTCCCCTGGTGCTGCATCAGGACCCGGACACGTTCCCGGGGCTGGCACTGGTGAATCCAGGGAATTCCTGGATTAATTCCCAGGGAATCGTGGCCAGGCCGGCACAGCTGACCCTGATCCATCGGGAGCCTGGGAATTCCAGGAGCTGGGCTTTCCCCAACACTCACTGCCCAGCTCACAGCAGGCTGCTGCTTCTCCTGCTGGATTCTGGGGGCTTTCTGCAGGAGAACAGCTGGAAAATCAGGATTTAACCTCCAGGGTTGGAACTGATGATCTCAGGGGTCTTCTCCAACCTCAATCCCCCTGGGATTCCACATCTCTGCTTCCCCTTCACTTCAACTCTTGAAATCACCAAATATCCCAAAGTTCAAAACCTCAAATCCAAGCCAAAAGGAATCCGAGTCACTACAACTTTTCCAAAGCCAAAAAAGAACTTGGGGCGTGAAGAAATCCCTGGGTTCAGACCAAAAGGGCTTCAATCACACCCTGAGGTGTTTATTTGACAATCTGGGGTGGGCAGAAACAGGAATTCCATTTAATTCCAGCCTTGATTTGGGGCTCTGCTTTCCACCAGCTTCTCCACTGTTTGTGGGAGCAGAATTCTGGGATCTCTGGGATCTTCCTCAGAGTCTTTTGAATTTCTGAATGTCTCAGAGCTGAATTTCAGGGACCCTCCAGGTTTGTATCCCCAGAGCCCCCCCAGGCCCCCACAGCTTCTCCTCTTCCCACACCTCATCCCTGCTCCTTCCCCCTCCCTCTGGAACAGATCCACAATGTTTTTCCACAGGAACTGGGGCTGTGTCATCCCCACCGAGGTGTTCCCTGTTTTCCTAAGCCATTTTTGCCACGTAAGGAATGTTTTCCCACTGAAACTCAGGCAGGCAAAGGGAGAAAAGGGAGAAAAAAGGAGGAAAATTCCTTTCCAGGGATGAACAAACAACATTCCTGCATCCCTCATCCACAAAGGTCCCTCCTCTCAATCCCAGCCAGGTGAGAACCCAGCTCCACACACCAAAACAAAGCACTGAATTTGCCATGCTAATTGTTATCCCAGTATTCCTCCCTTTCTTGGGGCATCTCAGGCCTGGTTTTGCAGGAAAAAGGATCAAACAGGTGAAACTCGGGTCTGGAGGAGATTTTTTTATTCATTTTCATGCTCTGGGGGAAGAAACAATCAAGTACTCAAGGCAAGGGAGCAGCAACGAGGTGGAGTTGGTTCCTCCTGCTTCCCACTCCCTTTGGAAGCTGCAGGATTTAGGCTGGGAAGGCTCAATCCTCTGGGAACCAGAGAAATCTCCCAAAAAAAGGGAGAAGGAAGGAGTGGCTCCCACAATCACACAAGAAATAGGAAGGAATTTGAGGAGATGCCTCAGGCTCGGAGAAATCCACAATTCCCTGCTGCCTCTCCTCAGAGAAGCCCCTGAGGAGCTCAAATCCCTTAAATTCTCCTTCAGGACCAGCACTGGGATATTCCAGGGGACTGGGAACAACTGCCCAGCCCTTCCCATCCCAATTCCACCCCCAATTCCAGCCCCACAAGGGGCTCAGCTCTGCTCCAACCCAGCCAGGGAACTTCCCTGGGAATCCTGCACGGACACCTCCCTGCCTTGGCTGCTGGGAATTGCTGTCTTTGGAATCCCGGGATGGTTTGGGAGGGAAGGGACCCCCGAGCCCCCCCAGTGCCCCCCTGCCATGGCAGGGACACCTCCCACTGGCCCAGGCTGCTCCCAGCGCCAGGCTCCAGCCTGGCCTTGTCCACTGCCAGGGATCCAGGGGCAGCCACAGCTGCTCTGGCAATTCCAGCCCAGCCAGCAATTCCCAATTCCCAATTCCCAACATCCAGCCCTGTCCTCTGGCACTGGGAGCCATTCCCTGGCTCCTGGCCCTGCAGCCCTGTCCCAGTCCCTCTGCAGCTCTCCTGGAGCCCCTTCAGGCCCTGCAGGGGCTCTGAGCTCTCCCTGGACCCTTCTCCTCTCCAGGGGAACATTCCCAGCTCTCCTGGAGCCCCTTCAGGCCCTGGAACGTTCTGGAAGCTCTCCCTGGACCCTTCTCCTCTCCAGGGGAACATTCCCAGCTCTCCTGGATCCCTGGGATGCATCACTCTGGGAAGGTTTTATTCCATGAAGAGGATCCATAAAGGTCTCTTGGATGCTGCTCTGGCCCCTCCCTGCCCTGTGCACCCCACAGAGATCCCCCTCACCCCAAATCTCTGCTCGGACCCCCCTCCCCTCCCTGTTCCCTGCCCCCACTCCAACCCTGATCCCCCTTTCCACACCCCCAGCCGTGATCCCACCTTTCACTCTCCATTCCCAATCCCACCTTTCACTCTCCATTCCCAATCCCATTTTTCACACTCTCCATTCCCAATCCCTTCTGTCCCCATCCTTAATTCCCTTTTCAGTCTGTTATCCCTGATTCCCTCTCTCCCCATCCCTGATCCCTCCACACCCCCATTCCCTGCCTCCCTGTCCCATCCCATTCCCGGTTCCCTGTCCCCATTCCCGGTTCCCTGTCTCCATTCCCGGTTCCCTGTCTCCATTCCCGGTTCCCCGATCCCCATTCCTTGTCCTCTCTCATTCCCGGTCTCCATCCCGGATTCCCGATCCCAATTCCCTCTCCCCTCTCATTCCCTGTTCCCTGTCTCCATCCCTGATCCCCATTCCCGATCCCCATCCCCTTCTCCTGCCTCCCTGTCCCGGCTCATTCCCGGTTCCCTGTCTCCATCCCGGATTCCCGATCCCCATTCCCTGTCCCTCTCATTCCCGGTTCCCTGTCTCCATTCCCGATCCCCATCCCCTTCTCCTGCCTCCCTGTCCCATCCCATTCCCGGTTCCCTGTCTCCATCCCGGATTCCCGATCCCTGTCCCTCTCATTCCCGGTTCCCTGTCTCCATTCCCGATCCCCATTCCCTGTCCCGCTCATTCCCAGTTCCCTGTCTCCATCCCGGATTCCTGATTCCCATTCCCTGTCCCCTCGCATTCCCGGTTTTCTGTCTCCATTCCCCATTCCCTCAGTTGGAGGGAATGTCTCGATGGAGACATCGCGGCTCCCTCAGAGCCCGTTCCCGCCCCGCTGTTCCCGCGCTGCCTGAGGCGCTGTGTCCCGCTGTCCCGGGGGTTTGTGGCGCACCTCCATGGCCTGGCCGAGCTCCAGATCGAAGGTCACCACACACACGCAGTCGATCCAGGCGGCGAAGCGGCCCCAGGGCAGGGGGGAGGCGGCGGCGCGGCGGGGCCGAGGCCCGGCCCGGCTCAGCGCGTCCATGGCGGCGCCGCCCGCCCCGTCCCGCGTCCCGCGCTGCGCAGCGCCCCCTGGCGGATGGGAGGACCCCGAGCCGCACAGCGCCCCCTGGCGGATGGGAGGACCCCGCGCAGCGCCCCCTGGCGGATGGGAGGACCCGAGAGCGCCGCCCGCACCATCGAGACGGGAGCGGGCGCGCAGAGCGGCGCGGGAGGGGCTGTGGAGGTGTCATGGCGGTGTCATGGCGGCGGCGTGAGGGCTCCGCGGGGCTTGGGGGTAGTGAACGCTCGGCGGCTTCACCGCCACGGGCTGTGCCGGCCGGGGCCGGTCCGACCCCCGGCTGTGCCCGCTCTGAACCTCTCTGAGCCCGGTCTGAGCCTCCCCGAGCCCGGCTGAGCCCGGCCTGAGCCCCCCGAGCCCGGTCTGAGCCCGGTCTGAGCCCGGTCCGAGCCCGGTCTGAGCCCCCCGAGCCCGGTCTGAGCCCGGTCTGAGCCCGGTCCGAGCCCGGTCTGAGCCCCCCGAGCCCGGTCTGAGCCCGGTCTGAGCCCGGTCCGAGCCCGGTCTGAGCCCGGTCTGAGCCTCCCCGAGCCCGGTCTGAGCCC